GACGACGTGGTCTGTTATAGAGCTTCAGTTAGCAACCCTCCAAAACACGGTTTTTAGTAAACCACGAGACTCTCAGGTTTCGATTGCGCATGCAGCGGAGGGGCCACTTAAATACTTACTTACAGCAGGGGAGCTAACTCATGCAAAGTCATGCTAGAAATTGGAGTTAGTGATTGAGCATAGATCTGATCTCGTTATTTTGATCTGATGAGGGAATTTGATTCGGAGAAAGCCTTCTAGTAAGGAAAATTGCCTGCTTGGTTCAGTTAACTTAAGGACACAGACAGAATTCTGACAAAATCAGAGTTTGCCGGATATCGAAAAAATGTCCTATGCTATTTGGTATGACTGAATAAAGCTTTGTATTTTTTGTTTTATGTTGTAGGAGCTGACCAACACATATAAAAACAAACAATAAGCAGTTTTTATATTCCTTTTAAGTTATGAATTCCGCTAAGGTTGTGCATTATTTCAAAGTTTTCGCATATGTATTAATGCCATTTAGCGAATGATAATCAAGCTTTCGCAAATTTCGGAATTTCGCGTGAGTTTCAGCCCATACTGTACATAAAGTTTTAAAACACCAAGTTTAAAAGGTCCTCTGACCTAAGTAGTCAAATGTATTTACAATGCTTGTTTAAAGTCAGCGCTAAAACTTGTGGCCTGTAATCACCACGAATCTGTGCCATATCATCCACCACATACATTGAATGGGGCATTTCTCACTTAAATGGTAGATGTGCTTTTTGGTATCTACCACTTGTGGCCTTTATGACATTCTCATGCATGTGAGATCCTAGCCGCCAACGCCATTTGCGTGAAATGCTAGCGTGCTGTAAGCGGAAGGGGGGCAGCTCTCTTGTGTGTAGCACGCACAGCCGGACTCTCTAGCACTGTCAACCTCTGCGGTCTCTCACAGCATCAATCTATAGACCCAATCGGACTGCAACCTAATGCACGGATGGCGAAGTGATTTCGATAATGCTCAACGCACATTCATCGCCCTAAACAATCTGACGTACTTCAATCTAGCGCAATGAGCCCAAAGCCAAAAATCATTTATTTTACTTCGATGTCCTTCCTACTGATCTGAGCCACCCTCCCCCACCTTGCTTGTAATCCTGGTGTGCTGAGTGTGGGGAGCAGGTCCTGTATATGGCACATGCAGACGAACCCCCCAGTTCTGCCAGCCACTGCAACTAATCCCCGCATCCGGCAGCTAACCGGCTTGGAACCACGAATTGGTGTCTGGCCAAGGTGTTTATTAATTTACCACGATCAAAAATTCAAATTTTTGGCGATAGTCTGATAGATTTTGCCTCATTCCAGTACCAAACGCCGTTGCCGTTGTTTTGACCGAGAGATATCACCTACTTCACAAAATAATTATGCCTGCTAGGCCTGCAGTAGCATGACATGCGTTTACTGCGTGCACAGATAGTCCACAATGGGGTATAAAAAGCAAAGCACACAGGCTTGCACTGGCTTATGCCTAAATCCATTCATCACGCACTCAGTTTGTGTGAGAAGGTTGGCAAAAAACGCCAGAGCTAAAGCTCGATCATAGTTAAACTGACCACTCCAAGGATGGGATGAAAGTCAGTTTTAGATGATCTTATCAAAAAAGAAACTTTTCAGAATGTTCCATTTGGTATATTTATGAAAACTCTAGAGCAAGCCAGTCACGTAACATAAAGGGAGTCGATAGGCGTATGTGTATATTAGTGATGCCCTGATATTCGATCTGAAGGCTGAAATATTAATGAGGAAGCCAAAATTAGTTGGAAAACCTACATACTTATCCTAGTAAAAAAGTGCCTTTCTAACTCTCTGGAGAACTATCAGAAAGAGCGAGCAATGAATTAACGTTCAGGATGTTTTCTTTAGCACTAAGATAACCAGTAGATAACTTGCGGTTCTGGTAACCTGATTGCTGCCAATTCTCCTATCAGAGTGGTGTGTGAAAGTGAATGAACAACACATTTTTCGAGGCATTTACACTATAAAAACCTTCTGATTTTACTGAAACCAGACAACAGGAGACTTTCACCAAGCATTCCAAGGTTAGCTCTCCATACTAATGTTAACTCATGTGCTGCGGCGTATTAATCGTTTGTGGACGAACCTAGATGATATACGAAGGAGATGGTAACTACTGGTGTAGAGTTTTAGTGTGTGTTCTGTCACCAAAAATACCATCAGCAGAAGCAACTTTGATGATTGCTTTACAAGTTCATTAAGGATTAGATTAATTATAGAATAATATGGTTGAGTAAAAATAACCTATTTTTTCCTGCATATGAGAAGGTCAAGTAGACAATAAGGAAAACTAGTATTCTGTAGTATAATAGTAAACGGTGCAGTTTCTGATGTTAAGCGATTAAGCGCAAGGGCAATCCAAACGTTTTGCACGCTTTAATGGCGATTTCATGGGGTTTCCAGAGTAATAATGCAAGACATTACAGCGACATGAAGAACGTGGAATGCACAGCCCAAATAACAGTATTTCAATTTGAATATTTGTCAGCTAATCTTCCTAATCATTCACTATTGGTTGAAGACATAAAAAAATAGTAAGAAAACTAACAAGGGGTTAAAATTATTTTAATCAGCCTGATGTCATTTCAAGATAAAACAACTGAAAATGCTTATTTTCCACATCCAAAGAGGATCGATATCATTGTAACGAAAAGGACTAAAACAAACTATAAACACAGATCAGCATAGGTTATACAAAAACCATGGTCATAATGCCAATCGAACTAAATGTCTGAGGTAAGGAGAAATGCACGAATATAGAACTGGCGAATGCAAAAGTAAAGTAGATGAGTAGCGTAGGCACTTACATGGGTAACGTACAAGTTCAGCCTGAAACCCTTGGGAGTTACAAGAGTGGCATATCCCATTGATTTCCCAGATAGCCAGTCGGCGTGATGTATGTGATGAGGGTAACCGTCGAGAGTGTAAGGGTAAGTCAGGAAGGACTCCAACTTCCACTGGGAAAAAATGGATAATCCAGCACCGAAAACCTGACTTTTATCAAGTATTATAAATAGTCAAGCAAACAAACCTGTGAAAGTACACCGAATAAGGGTATCTGTCAGAGAGGGCTTCTTTGAATTTGGCATACTCTTTGTTTTCCCACAACTTAAATCACGTAAAAAACAAGAGAGGAAGTGGCAGACCTCCTGAAGGAGAACGATATCATAATTAGCCGATTTTAGCGCTTCACGCAGAGCGGCCAAACGACGTGCTTTTGCAACCGTCATGGTTTTGACAAAAACACCCCTTAAATAAACGAAATAATCTAGGCGCATTCTGACAATACCAGCAATTCAGGGTGAGGATCGAAATGTTTTCTGTAATCAGTGGAGGATTCTCTGAATCTAAAAGACAAAAGAAGATTATCAACAAATACGACGGTAGTGTCAAAATACATCATGAAAACACAAACAGGTAAGCACTACATAAGCTTTCTTTGTCTCATTTTTGCATTAGATTGACCTGCAATTAAAAAAGTAGTATGTAATGAGAGCATATTCTTATTATTATATGATATATAAGACGCAGGAAAAGACTTTAAGGATGATAGGGTGTGGAAAGAAACGGTCGTTAATTGTTGTAGAAAGTTAACAAGTAATCTGTCATGTGAGGTAGGAATGAGCACCCAGTTATAAGGGTAATGACAGAAGGCAAATATAAGTATATCAGCCACCTTATATTTCAAGAGACTTGGCCGAATTAGAATTTAACTAAGGTGCACATAAAGTTACCCATTAATCCTACACCTGGTACTTCAGAACAAAACGATTCGATCGCTGGGACAACACTTTCATTCGCCTGACGTTTCGACATTCGTCGCGGATTCTTCATAAGAGACACGAGCAGAACGTAATAGCAGACCTAGTACTTTAAAATTCTTAATAACTACGTGCGTTTTCCCGGAACATAGTTTACTAATGGATTGTCAAGCAAACCATGATACACGTGTTCAGAAAATGCTTTAAACAAGAAGACTGATTTTGAGTAAGACGCATAGAACCACGCAAAACGCCAACCATCACAGCTGGAAGTGAACACAGCCACCAAGTAAGCCCGTCTCAAGCTACGCAGAAATCTGAACTTCAGGTAGTTGTTAGAAGTCTGGTGTACCGTGACCATATCCAACACGAAACGCAGAATGATCGGTACTTATAGTTCATTTCTAGATCAAGAGGTTACTGACATAATACTTTCTCAAATCACAGCTCCGCGTTATTTTGCGAACTTGCTCCTACAGGGCAGGTCACGTTGACAGAAATAAACTTCTTCTTTTAGAAAAGATGTCTGGCATTGTGGAGCTGATCCAAAGTTCTCGACTACATCAATAATGAGGAAATCGGATACACCTTCTGAGCAATGTAGAGGGAACTAGTAGGGCGGTCAAAGGTACCGAATAAATGAATACACACAACTGTGAGAGTTGGCGCTTTCACACAAATAATAGCGGATTTTCTCATATGGATCTTTACTTCACATTTAAAACCCCACCTGTTGTAGAAACCGAATACTGACCAGTCTGAAAGCACGACAACATGTATCGCGTCAGAAGCTCTACTTAAGCAAGTGTGATCACTTGCTACCCCTCGGCAGCGACGTCTTCACGCTGGCCTAATAAAAAATATCAGTTTCATCAGTAATATAATCGGAGTACTGCCTCCTTCGAAATGGGTGAACATTAAAGCACGATCGTATTATTTCGCAGGACTCTGAGCCCCACTTGAAAATAGGAGTAGACTCAATTACGATAAAATCCACTCATGTGCCGTAAAGAAGTGCGCGTTCGTGTATTAACGGACATATTCAGGGTAATCCGGGTGTCAAAACTCTTTTCATTACTCTACCTGTTTTTATTATTATATTTAACATTCTTTTAGCTTCTTCTCAAAGAATCCTTTGAGTATTTTTTCCTCGGTATGCAATACCAAGCATTTGCCTTTAATTTATTGGTTCATATCTTGCAATGTTTTACGCATTTCTGTTGAACAGAACCTGGAACTTTACTCTAGAGGAAATAGTTGAGTATCGTGATATTATATGTGTGGAGAAAAAATGCAGCCATTCAATAAAACGGGCTTACTTGGTTGATTAACAGACAATTCTGGTTTATGTATCGAAGATTGATTACTTTCGTCACCGCTGTCCGAAGGACGGTCCTCAATAAAATAAAATGAATGGATATTATTTTTTCGAACGGAAGAAAAATTACATGAGATTCAGACGTCCATGATCCCATCTGGGCAGAATCTTCATCCGATTCTTTTGATTCGTGTGGTTGGTGGGGAGCTTTATTGTGAGCCATATAGACTACAAATATAAAAACCGATTGACTTAAGATTGCAATTAATTACAGTTAAAGAGCTTCCTATGATACTGCATAACCTTAAAGAATTCTCGAAAATTATATATAAAATATATATCTTAAAGAATATATATTAAAATATATATTCTTTAAACTTAAGATTATATATAACCTATAATGGAACCTATAGGTTACGATAAAAGCAAAGTGGACATAATAAAAATAATCGCACAAAAAGTAATCAAACGTTTTACAAGGCACCTCATAAAAGTACGCAAAATTTTAAAAATCGGTCGCCGCAAGAATTGCCAATAGGCATCATATATTATGTTCGTGGAACATTAAATGTAGTATGCAAGCGTGGAGTTTCGGAAAATTAATAATTTTATGGAGATTAAAAATGGGTAAGAAAGGACTGAGCATTAACTGTCAGGTCGCAGCGCAAATTAGCTATTGTGCAGAGCGAAAACTCCTTGCAAAGGACTGCCCTTAGACAGAGACCAATCAAAAAAGTAACAATTCAGAATTAATTGCACTTATAATCTTTAGAACACTTAAACAAACAAAACTATCTCATGGTAATATGTTAGGGTTTGGTTCCCACACTTTTTATTTGGATCGCGAAAGAAGAACTCGCGTGCTTCGAAAATTCCTCTAATGTTTTACATCGACAGTGACTCGGGCAAGCGCTGTTGGTTTTCGTTATAGAAATGCATCATCATACTTATCTGAAACTAACAATTTTTTACGTTATTTTGCACTTTGAATAGGTAACTGAGCATCGGAGAAAAATTGCTACTCTTGAATCGAATTAATTTTAAGTCGACAGCCAGATTTATTCCTTGTCAAGGAACCATCACATGCCAGAATTACTAATATTGTGTTGTTGACTGGTCCACGAATGGACAATGTAGCAAGGCCTTCATATGTACGTTTTTTATTAATGGAAAATATTATCTGACGGTGATAGTCTAGTCCAAACATTTTGATGTTCAAATCACCTAGATAACATTTTTTCAAACAACGGGTCTGTTTCACTGAGCACCATATGTTATTAAAGAATGTCAAATGTCAAAGGGATTCCTTAATTTGTCATTGTTCAAATTAATTCTAGGACCTCATTCATTTATCTTTATTTTTAATGCTTTGCTAAAATAATTGTAACGTCCACGGCTTGAATACCTTGATAAACATTATGAAATTCAACAAAAATATCCTTGGTAGTAAAGAAGTATGTTTTAGTCCTTGATATCGAAGGTTGTTTGTTGAACGGATTTAATCGAACTATTCAACTTACATGTTGGAACTTCCTTTACTCATACTGCGAGTTACTTTTGAAAAGGTGCTCACCTACTTTTGGCTATTTCAAAATCTCTAACCTTTTTCCCTGTTATACACGTGACACGGTCATCCAACTGCGTGAGCGGCGTGAGGTTGCATGTTGTTGCTGCCTCGTCGCTGCCCCGCGATGTGATATGAAGCGTGTGGACGCATGTTGATTTGGTTTTCGGCCATGTGGAGCCTTCGTTTCTGTTCAAATGCTTTCTGTGGCGAAGACTTCGATATTCAAGGAGCAACCACTGTAGGCCGAGGAAGCTCAAAAGCTGGAAAGCTGACGCTTGATGCATGGTCTTCAGATGCCAACTCCGTCAACAGGCATCTAGACCTCCCCGTGGCCTATAAAGTCATACGCCATTATGTGAAAAAAGGACGGAACAAGGCAAAAACGGCACATAAGAATTGCAAACGAAGAGGACCCCACGTCGAAGCGGCCAGAAGAGAAGGCAACATCACTGAGCCCTCTACCGTGGGGACAAGGCATTACACCAATTACACGACCGCCGATTTTACTCACAGTAAATTAGCGTATACCATTGTCATTGACCCAGCTATCCCCATCCTTTTTGGTTGATATTTCGGCAAGAATGAATATAGAGGCCACAAAAATCCCGTCGACTTATAATAAAAAAGTACTTTCAAATGATCAGTAGCCCTCCTTTAATTATTTTGTTCAATTCCACCAATAAGAGGACCAATTTCAATTTTCGTTAAATTCCGCCTGCATAAGGTCAAATGTCCCCCGATTAGCATTCGTATTCTACGTAATAGAACTTTATGTTGATTGAATTTAATTGCATTTATCACATTAAAACAAGCATAATCTAAGTTAATTTAATATTTTTGATCAATTCCGCCATAGTTACGTATTAATTTACGCTCACTAGCCAAGAATTAAATGTTTGACCACAAAATACTGTAAGCAAGTGGGCGTGGGGATTAGATATCCAGAGTGGCCCTACAAATCATTTTTGCTGATGTTTCTTACCACTTCACGCCCTGATGACCGCTGACAGTTGATAAACGTATGGCCACTATAATTACCCTCCTTTTGGTTGTTGCTTCTTAGCTCTGAAGATTGACTCCTGTAAGAGTTCGAAAGCTCAGGACATTAAACTATTTGATCCGGTGCTCGACAAATCTTCTTCATTATCCATGCAGATACCTGGAACGCTAACTTTTCATTCATTTGAAAAAAAAACAGTGCTTCGCAGACCGCGGTGAGATTAGTAAATTCTCCGCATTTAAAAACCTTTTCAATGGATGCCACCATTGGAACCCTGCCACTGCTAAGTTCATATATAGCCACAGCTCTCATTTACGCCTCCCTGAAGCTGGACACTGCTAGCACTAATACTAATGGTCTACCATTACTAATGTCGTTACTTCTGCCACGAAAAAAAACTATTGCTGCGACCCCACAAATCTGTTCTCCCCCAGTATCACAAATTATCCAGCATTAAATGATGATATGCTGTCACGTAGGCGGTCCATGTCATATAGACAGGCCTCTGGGGTGAGTCCCATCATACTAGCAGCCTTGAATATTCGTTTACTCTTGATAGCCCTGGAAGTAGCCGAATTGAACGA